TTAGCCTGTGGTGTGAGTGGAGCTAAATCATGTGAAGGGCAGGGAGCTGTGTGAGTGGGATAGTCTCTTTGGCTGCCCAGGATGACTTTATCACAAGAGTCAAGTGAAATCTTTGCTCCACATTCCTTAGCGTTCCAGTGAAAACCTTTGGGTGTGTCTAAATATAGGTCAAACCAAAATTAGAATTTATGATGATGACCAAAATGCAGGGGTATGACTTTCATTTTCTTTTGTTTACAAATTAACTCTGTAGCCAGGTATTGGGCACCATGAAAGAAAGAATACACTACAAATCTGACAGAGAACCATATGTTTTAAAGTGTATGTTTTAGAAGGATTTGAAGTATAAGAACCATTTGTTTGGGGCAACTAGTTTTAAAGGTTGGATGCTCCCCAGAAGTAGACCTTGTATTAAGGATTTGTATGCAGATAGTGTATTCGAGGGTTGATGACACAAATCTTCATACAGATGAGCTGGGAGTATGGCTCAGTGATAGAGTGCATCGATAGCATGTGTAGGCCCTGTGTTGCACCCACAGCACCACGTGCCTGAACCAGCATCATTAGGGATTGGATGAGTGAGATAGGGAAGAAAAGAAAGTTCATTTGTAGCATCAATTGTGGGCTGAAACCACTAGGCTACTGTGCCGGGCTCCTCAGGTAGGGGGCGTGGGACACGCCTTCAGAAGCTACTTGAGGGACAAAGAAGGTAGGCTATTTAGCCATTATTTCCTTTTAGTCATTGCTTTGAGGTTGCCCTTATGTGTCCTGACTCACCAGCACTCAGGTCTCTCCCACTTATTGGCTGAAAGGACTGTATTTGCTAAAAAGGTGTAAGATGACATGGGACCAATGAAGACCAAAGGGCAAAGCGCTGATGCCACCTGCTGCTGTCTGCTGGACAGACAGACAAGCTTACATGGAAGCCGGAGATAAGGAAAGACATACATTACAGTTAGAATTCTCAGTTTTCTCAGGAAACTACAAGGATGACCCCAGCTAAGACTCCCAACAGTAGTGGAGAAGGTGCCTGAACTGGCCTTCTCCTGTAATTGGATGGATGACTACCCTAACTGTCATCAGAGAGCCTCCATCCAGTAACTGATGGAAGCAGATGCAGAGATCCACAGCCAAGCACTGGGCCGAGCTCTGGGAGTCCAGTTAAAGAGAGAGAAGAGGAAGGCTATGAGCAAGGGGCATCAAGATCATGATCATGACAAGGAAACCCACAGAGACAGCTGACCCGAGCTCGTGTGAGTTCATCGACTCTAGACCGACAGCTAGGGAGCCTGCATGGGACTGACCCAGGCCTTTTGCATGTGCGTGACCGTTGTGTAGCTTGGTCTGTTTGTGGGACCCCTAACAGTAGGACCGAGATCTGTCCCTGGCACATAAGCTGGCTTTTTGGAACCTATTCTCAATGGAGGGATGCCTCCCTCAGCCTTGATGCAGGAGGGAGGAACTTGGTCCTGCCTCAACTTGATATGGCATGCTTTGTTGACTCCCATGGGAGGCCTTACCTTTTCTGAGGAGGGGATGGGGTGTAGAAAGGAGGTGGGGGGGAGGGAACAGGATGATAGGAGGGAGGGGAAACTGTGGTTGGTATGTAAAGTAAGTAAAAAAATCAATAAAAAACTCTTAGTTTTAAGTGATAAAATCCCAAATCAACATAGCACAAGAAAACAAAAGTAATTTATGTGAGTCATAAAACTCTAAAAGTTCAGGGTAAAGTGGCCTCGGGCATAGCTAGCTCCAGCTAGCCATTGGTTTGGAGTTGCCTCTTATGTGTGTTTAGTCACTAGGACTCTGACTCTTCAATCTGTGGATGTCAAATAAATACACAAAGAATGCTATATTGAGGCTCTGCCTTCTGTTCATCTCTCAGTCCTCTCTCTTCTGTGTTGGTTTTCTTATCTGGATGCTGAAGATGAGTGGGAACGATGGTGCCTCTAGCCTTCCCATCTTTATTCTTCCTGATCTCAGAGCAATAGAACATACTTCCCGAAGGGCTTTGGTTAAAAATCTTAGAGAACAAAGGAAATGAAGTCAGGAAAATGAAGCGATATCCAGTTCTCAGGTTCATCTGAGTCCTGTTCACAATAGTTGGGATGTGGAATCAACCAAGAAATCATCAGTGGGTGAACTGGTAGATGGAAATAGCAGTAGATGAGATGGTAGGAGGAAATTCCGCCACTTGCAACAACAACCTGAATCGAACAAGAGGACATTAGGTTTATTTAGTGAAAATAAGACAGACACAGGAAGTCAAATATCCTGTGCTCTCACTTAAGTGTGAAAAGTGAAAAGGCTGAACTCACAGAAGCAGACAGTGAGACCAGGAGCTAACAGGCGAGAAGGACTGGGAAAATGGTGGTCAAAAGATACAGGAGTTTCCTAGGAAGGATGAAGTTCAAGATATCTATTGTAACCGTCGTGGCTCTACTTAATAGCAAGCATTCCTGAAAACTGACGAGTGGGTAGATATGAATTATTCTTACCACAAAAAATTGACAAGTATGCAGGGTAATGCATATGTTAATTAGCTTGATCTTACCATTCTACAATGTATGATGTATATGACAATAAGTGTACATAACTTGTTTATCAAATTAAAATATGTATATATACATAGGAGTAAAAAACACCTTTAAAAAGTCTTTGGATTGGTTTAATGTTGGTTAGACACTCACCCTTCTTCCAACTGACGTGGCTGAAAAGAGAACTCTGGTCCTGTGTTGTGTTGTAGAGGATGGTACTATTCTACTCCAGTATTCTACCACATAAACTGAGTATCTATGGACACCGGAAGGAGAGATGCTTCTACTATAGCAGTCTTTTATTTCCTGTGGATACAGGTCAAGTGGATGACCGAACACATGGATAATACTGAACCGGATTTTTTTTTTTACATAGTCATACTTATTATAAAGTTTAAAATGTTTGACTCTTTATTTTTATTTTGTTTTTTTTTTAAGACAGGGTCTCTCTATGTAATCCTGGCTGTCCTAGAACTCACTCTGTAGACCAGGCTGGCCTTGAACTCACAGAGGTCCACTTGCCTCTGCCTCTCAAGTGCTGGGATTAAAGGCATGTGCTACTGTGCCTGGTTTTGATAAAATTTAGTTTTTGAATAAGGCGCAGTAAGCGATTAACAACTAAAAATATAGGAGAATAGTTGTAACAATATGCTATAAATAATGTGAATCTGCTCGCTGTTTCTCAAAATATCCCTACTGTACTTCATGTTTTCACTTAAATAAAGCATTTTCCTGTTTGTCTTTCTCCTTCCAAGTTGGCAACATCACTGAGATTTGGGGTCATTATTAAGTCAAAGGAGGATCACTATAAGCAGCATCCTACTGTGAGAGTTGGCTTGATAACCAAGACACCTACTGATGATGGGGCTGTTGCATATATAGTGTGGATATGCTCGACAAAGGTATTGTTCATATCCTGAGTGGGACATGGATTTTATCAAGATGTTCAGAATGTTATACAACTTAAAATTTGGGAGTTGTTCATTTATCTGTTGGATTTTCCACTTAATTCGTTGAGTCTGTGGTTTACTGTGTGTGACAGAATCTATGGAAAGCAAATCTTTGGATAACAGAGAACTACTGTAGTTGCTGGAAAAATGAGCTTTCAGAGGAATAAACAAATCAAGGCCCTGATTTGTAGCTGATTTCCGTGGTATAGATTTCAAGCAAGCAACATGATGTCGTGAAACACGGCATGAGAAAAGGTTTGCACGATCAGCCCTTGTAAACCAGGGCAAACTGGCTCTAGCATGCAACTGGGCAATTATCCACAAAGATTGTCCCTAGACAGATGATATGTATGATCACTACACCTGTAGAAGACCACAGCCTATCTTATATAGCCTTAGTTACCATGAAGACGCAGTTTAAGAACCGTCAGAACAGGTTGTTTTGTCTGGCTTCTAGGATACTTGGATGGCCTAGCATATTAACACAAGTGATCTACTGCCCCCCCACCCTACTCACTTTGCATGCACCTCCAGCAAATGCTTAACTGACCATTTGATGGTGTAAAATGATGCTTAACAACGTATGTGTATCTTCTGTGTAAGTACTGTGAAAGTCAGGATCTTCCTGGCTTTCTTCAGTTCTTTATTCCCAGAGGCCAGAAGAGAGCTTGGGAAAATACACAGACACTCCATGTGGACACGTGAACACTGCTTTGTCTGCAGAGTTTGCAACATTCCCTGGTGTCATGAAGTCATGCACTTAGCCATCAAACCTTCCCCACCTCTGTGATATCTCAGGTGTGAAGAACCCACTTTATACCTCACTGGTGCTGTCAGAGGCTCTCCAGACTTTCTCGTGGTAATCCTGGGAGGGATCGGTTGCTGATTAACAGCCTCAGTCCATAGGCTGAAAGGAAACCTGTACCATCGGGCCTTTTGTCCTGTCATGGCTCCGTTGTTCCTTTGTTCCTGGAGTGCCCTGACTTGATGGTGCTTGTGGTTTTTTGGTCAGGAGAGTTGTCTCTTCATACCCAGGGGCTCAGCTCTTCCTAGGTAGGAGTAGACGAAGACGGCACTAAGTCGCCGGAGCCTGCCGTACCTTGTCTGACTAGAGTCTCCTTACACACTGGGACAGAAAACTTCCCGCCTTTGCGGTTCTTTGTTTCAGGATAAAATAGCCTAGCTAGGAAGCTGCAAGGTTGAGAAGTTGTTAAGCATACACACACAGTCACACCAAACCAGATTTGCTGATAAGGGGAGAATGGGAAGGCCTGAAGCAGAGGGAGCGTTTCAAGGTCACAGGCAAGGAGGGGCCTGCAGTGGTGGCTATGGAAAAGATGAATAGACAACAGTTGAATGCATTATTTAGTGTGTTCCACATCGCAAAGCCAAGAATGGTTCCTTCGCACCAGAAGATTTGATGTATCAGGCTGGCTGGCTCCGCAGAGGCCGCCCCCAGTCTCCTCCTGACTTCATGGAGACATGGTTGTCTAGGTGACAACTGTCAGGCAAGAAGCTGCAAGCTGAAGAATAAAATCGCCTTAGCTAATAGAGCGGCATGCTATTATGTACCTGAAGGTTTAACTGCTATATTAGCCTGAAAGAATCATTTGGAGGGGCGAAAGGAGTTCGCTTTTCCCTGGGCTACATCAGTGAATTCAATTTCTATTGAAGAGAGACTAGCATTTTAAAAACCACTGTGTGTGGAGCTTCGAGTCCTTTTCTTCTTTCGGTGAGAAATGATTTAATAATGAACTTACAACTGCAGGGCCTCTAGTCAGCTCCTTGGAGCCCTGGAAGAGGGAAAAGGCAGTGTGCAAGGGCCAGGGGCTGGCAGGCTCCAGCCTGTTCTGTCCTTGTTCAGGCCTGGGCTCTGTGACTGAGGTTACTCCGGAGCAACTTGGTTGAGACACGTGTAGAGTCTGAGTGATAATTTTCCTCCCTCACAAGATTGCCGGGTGTCTCTAATTAACGGTTGTGAATTCCTTAGATGGGGTTGTTATCAGATGGAAAGGGGCTAATTGTACCGGTCACAATAGTTAACCTCTTCCAGAAGGAAGGGTGTGTGTGTGTGTGTGTGTGTGTGTGTGTGTGTGTGTGTGTGTGTGTGCACAAATGTGCAAGAGCGTGCCTTCGTTCTTTCTGCAAATGAGGCAGAAAAGCTTGAGAATCATTGAAATTCTCTGGCATCAGGACACCAGAAAATGAAAGACTGTATTCACTGAGACTTTTTCAGCAAGCCAAGTGGCCAGCATTTACTGGACTCTTTCTAGCGCTCATCCCTTTACACGTTTCATCACGTTTAACCCTTAGTGTTCCTGAGTCTTAAGTGGGATAATTATTAGCCTTGGTCTACCGATGAGAACATGAAGGTTGAGTTAAGGATACTTGCATGAGATGGCACGTTATTTTTATGAGTGAGTAAAAGTGTTTTAGATTAGACATGTCCAACCGTTGAGCACAGAGTGGGAAAGGTAGCACCTCCTGCATTCAAAGGCAAGCAGTGGAAGCTCTTGTGCTATGACCCAGACGACTTGGCCAGAACCGTCACTCTCTGGCCATCAGAACAACCTGCTTTACCTTCTGCTCCAATTCCTGGGTCTGCCCTCTGTTTCCACTGATCCCTTCTTTGAACTATAAACAATATCCGCCCTGTTTCCTTGTGACTCAAGCAGCTTAACTCCACATTGCCTACGCACCTTCAGAGGCAACTCTCCAAAGACACATGTTAGTCTTCTTACCATGTTCTGGAAGGTGCTGGGGTCTGAAGTGACAGTGGTAGGTGATGTGAAAATGCTCCTATCGAGAAATTTGGTCTGGAAAGGGAATGACATCAACACAATATAATCAAAACTATAAGGAGAGTAATAATAACTATTTTGAAGTCCTTCTCATGTGCCGAGCCTACTGCTGAGTGCTGGAAGCAAGTTCATGAAGAAAGGGCTGTGATTATTTCTGTTCTAGAGAGGAAAAAGCTAACATATAGGAGGTCAGAGCACCTGCCCACAGGTGTACAAGTAGGAAATTGCAGAGCAGGAGTTGAACTGAAGCAATATGGCTCTAGTTTCAGTTCCAATGATGTTACTAACCACTATGCTCTATTGCCTGTATAGAGACCAAGAAAATATACTGAAAGTCCAGATGAAGGGTCTTAAGGTCCTTTCTAAGTAGAATGTTTCACAGGACTTGAGAGAAAGACATAAGAAGAGAGGGCTGGGAGTTTTGTAACCAGAACATTCAAAATGCAGTCTACCTACCAGGCCCCTGATTTGGACCTTTTGGCATATTTAAGCTTACACAACCAATGACTCTAAAGCTTCCTGGCTTAGAGGGACACTGGTTATTACTGAGCATCTTTCATGGTTTCTATAATCTGGGGATTAAGGAGTGGCCCAGTTTGGTGTTTGTTTTGTGACTTCGATGCTCACGTGAGATTTCACTTACATGTCAGCTGTGGTTATAGTCATCCAATTTGATATATTCACAAGGTTGGCAAGTTGGTGCTCACTATTGGCCTGGGCTAAGTTTTTCATAATGTGGACTTCATTCTGCAGGTCTGTTTGAGTGTCCTCATAATATGGCAGCTGGCTCAGCTAGCTAAGGTCCAAGAGACCAAAGATAGAATTTTTATGCCTTAAATGGAAGTAATGCCTCTTAGGATCCTCCTTGTTTCCTAGCTTCTCTGGAGCTGTGGTTATCCTTTGCTTTACATCTAGTATCCACTTATGAGTGAGTACATACCATATTTGTTTTTCTGACTCTGGGTTACCTCACTCAGGGTGATATTTTCTAGTTCCACCCATTTGCATGCAAATTTCATGATGTCATTGTTTTTTTACGACCGAGTAATACTCCATTGTGTAAATGTACCACATTTTCTTTATCCATTCTTCGGTTGAGGGGCATCTAGGTTGTTTCCAAGTTCTGGCTATTATGAATAATGCTGCTATGAACATAGTTGAACAAGTGTCCTTGTGGTATGATTGAGCATCCCTTGGGTATATGCCCAAGAGACACATGGATAGCCTTGGGAAGGGGAAACAGAGGAGATCTCCATGAATAAACTGGTGATGGGGAGCAATAGAAGTGAGGGGATGGGGGATGAGGACATGAGGGAACAGGATGGTCAAGTTGGGGGTGGGATGGAGTGGGAGAGCAATATAAGAGATATCTTGATAGAAGGAGACATTATGGGGTTAGGGAGAAACCTGGTGCTAGGAAAATTCCCAGGAATCCACAAGAATGACCACAGATTAGACTACTAGCAATAGTGGAGAGGGTGCCTGAATTGGCCTACCCTGGTAATCAGATTGGTGAATGCCCCAACTATCATCATAAGCCTTCACCCAGTAACTGATGGAAGCAGATGCAGAGATCCACAACCAAACACCAGGCCGAGCTCCTGAAGTCCAGTTGAAAAGATGGAACAGAGATTATATGAACAAATGGGGCCAAGATCATGATGGGGAAATCTACAGAGACAACTGAACCAAGCTTGTAGGAACTCGTGAACTTTAGACCAACAGCTGTGGAACCTGCATGGGACCAGACTAGGCCCTCTGCATATGGGAGACAGTTGTGTAGCTTGGTCTGTTTGAGGGGCCCCTGGCAGTGTGATCAGGATCTATCCCTGGTTCATGAGCTGGCTTTCTGGATCCCATTACCTATGGTCAGACACTCTGCTCACCCTTGATTCACAAGGGAGGGGCTTAGTCAACTGAATGTACCAGGCTTAGCTGTCCCCCATAGGAGAATTTACTCTGTTGGAGGAGGCGATGGGGGGTAGGTCAGTGTGGGGAGGCTGAGGGGAAGTGAGAGGAGGGATGAAAGGGGCATCTGTGATTGGCATGTAAAATGAATAAAAAAAATTTAAATAAAAAATGGAAGTAATGCACTGTCATGACTTCTACATTCTACTGGACAGACACACCAAATTCTAATTTAATCTGTGCTCAAAATAAACTACATAGCTTTTCCTTGGGTTTATTGTTTCAAGTGGTAGCATCCAGGGTCTTAATAGTTTATGAAGTGATGTACACCTGGAGCTGGAAGAATGCCTGACATGTAAGCATGAGGACCCGAATCCACATTACTAATACCCATGTAAAAAGCCAGAGTGGCTACATACATCTCTAACCCCAATGCTGGGGGTAGGCAAAGACAGGAGGATCATTTGAACTTCCTGCCAGCAGGCCTAGTTCCAAGTTCAGTGAGATACTGTGTCTCAAAGGACTAAGGTAGAGATTGGCAGCATCTGGTGGTTTGAATGAGAATGGCTGCTGAAGGCTCGTATGTTTGAATGCTTGGGCTCCAGTTGGTGGTTGTTTGGGGAGGATTAGGAGGTGAAGCCTTGCTGAAGGAAGTATGTCACTGGAGCAGGCTTAGAGGTTTCAAAATACTCAAGGCAGTTTGAGTTTGCTGTCTGCTTCCCACTCGTAGATCAAGGTGTGAGCTCTCAGCTGCCATACCTAATCTGCCTACCTCCATGCCCTGGCCCCACCATCATGGACTCTAACCCTCTGAACTGTAAGACCAATTACACTCTTCCTTTTATAAGTTGTCTTGGTTATGGTGTTTTATCGCAGCAATAGAAAAGTAACTAATACATGGCAGTGACACTCAACAACTTCCTTTGGTTTCTGCATGTGTGGGCATGGTTGAACATATCCATACACACATGTGAATACACCACAAAATGAATTACATATACACACAGGTACACATGCATACACACACACACACACACACACACACACACACACACACACACACACACGTACACACACGAGATGGTATGTTTGATATCTTAGAAGTTTTATGGCTCTATACCAAACGGTAGTTTTGAGAAGGAGGTGATAAGTAAGGAAGAGAAGTTGAAACTGGGGAGAACTTTGAGTCTCTTGGTGTTGAAATCAAAGTACCAAAAACCTTGGAGATCGTTGGCCAGGCACATGTCCTATTCTGGGAATCATATGGATACAAAATACATTCAACTAGAGTTTCTGGCTTATGAGTAGGCCTGTTGATCACATGCAGAAGGAAGCTACCAGCATCATTTTTAGCAGATGAGCTCTGCTGTGTGCATATGGACTATCAAAGACGGTGATAAATAAAGTAGATTTTCAATGACAATTTAATATGTTTTAGTGGAAATAACTATGGATTTTAAAAACTCAATATTTTATGGCATCTTAATTTGTACCTTGCTAGAAACTGACAGAAAATGATAAACCAAAACTACCTGGCCCCTGATCCTGGTGTTTATAGGAATCAGATATTAATCAAATAATAGTACAAATTAATACATAATCACAAATTGATATAAGTACCATAAAGGAAAGGATGTAGCATCAAGACAGTAAAAACTGGAAGCCATGATAAAGTGGTGCTTTAATTGAGATCTGAAAGCTGAATATGTTTAAAACACAAACAAAAGGCAGCATATTCAAAGTAGAGAGAAGAGCATGCAAACCATGTTTTTTTTGTAGCAGAAAGAACCCTGTGAGGCTGAAGCAGAGGAAGCAAGAGTGAGTACAGTGTGAGAGGAGAGTAGACAGCTTTCCACGGACAAGACCATGCAGGCCCCTGTAGCCATGTTAAATATGTTAGTCATCATTTTTGAACAAGGAAAGGTCTTAGGACGGTTTTAGAGATAACACAGCCACATGAGCAGACTGGTGATTTGAAAACATCCACATCATACACATGGATGCCAGATTAGAACAGGAAAAGACTCCAAGCAGGAAGCTGACTTAGGTAGGAGGGGTATTCAGAAGGGAACTATTGCTTTGGACCACAGCAGCAGGATCTCAGGCAGCAGGTAAAGGCATGAGAGGAAACTCGTGAGAGGAAACTCGGGGTTTTAAAAGGCAAGGGGGAGAAAATGATGTGTGAACGACAATTTGGGCAGAGAATATAGGAATTTGGTTTTGAAGGTAGCATCTCAAACTAGCATGGGGAATTATGGACTGATTAGTAAGTATGTTGAGACAACTGGTTAGCCATCTGGATAAAACATAAATGAATCTAGCCATCATATCATAAAGTTGAAAAACATCAAAATTTGATCCAAAATTCAAATGCCAAAAGATGAAATCTTAAAAATAACATGGGAAATTTCCTGTACTGCTTTGGAGTAAGTGGGCCTTTTTAAGTATGACTTGTATGACTTGAAGTTCAGAACCAAGAAAAGAAAGGCTTGGTAAGTTTAACTACATAAAAATCAGAGTAGACATTTTTGCATAAAAAGTACACTTAATAAAGTAAAACAACAACAAGTAAATAAATGATAAACTAGAAGAAAAGTTGCCACTCCCACCACAAATCACTATAAAGGAACAATGACCTAATTTACAAATAGACAAAGGCCATAAAAGAATAATTTATAGATAAAGTACAAATGACTCTAAAGGTTCTGAATAGGATGCTCAACTGTACTCATAACGTGAGAAATGTGAACTAAATATGCCAATATGTCATCTGTTTTACCTATCAGATTTACAAAACTGCTCACTATCTAGTGGTGAAAGTAGAAAACATAGGCACACTTACATCTTAACTGTGAGAGTATGGATTTGGTATGACACCTCAGGGTAGAAAATTTGTCAATATTCATCAAAATTACAAGTGTTCATTTTATTTTGCCCAGATATTTAATTTTAGGATTTTGTTTGTAGAAATAGTTGCCTTCCTATGAAACAATGTACACATGATGCTATTCATTGCAGCAGGATTAGAAATAGCATAAGATTGAGAATAATCCAAGAGAAGCCTGGCTAAATAAATTATAATATATCTTTTCAGTCTATATAAAATAAATGAGAGAGATCTCCATCTACTGATATGGAAAGATACTTTAAAATGAAAGAAACAACGGACACTTATGTTCTTTTTACTGTTTTAGGGAGTAGAATTGACACTCATATTTATTTATATATGTTTAAAGAATTTAGGGGAGGATTGTATGCTATACATTTTTCACATTTTAACAGATGTGATGTAGGGATATCTTCCATTGTATGGAACTATAGAAAGATAATTATCCATATTATTTTCTTTCTTGGTGGTATATAGAATAATGATGATTTTCAAAATTGATGACATCTTAGATAAGATGGAATGCTACCTACTATGAAGGGAGACCATGGAAGGGATGAGGAGGAGTCTTTTTCTTTATGTGCCTTATGATGGTTTGCATTTAAGCCATGTAAACTTATTTTCCCCTCCAAATTGAATATTTAATAGTATTTTAAAAATAAGATAGTAGTATTTGTAAAATAATCTGTGTATCTATCTATCTATCTATCTATCTATCTATCTATCTATCTATCTATCCCTATCTATCTATCTATCTATCTATCTATCTATCTATCTATCTATCTATCTATCTATCTTTATACATATCTATCTATCTATCTATCTATCTATCTGTCTGTCTGTCTGTCTGTCTGCCTGCCTATCTGTCTGTCTATCTATGTCCTATCTGTCTGTCTATCATCTATCGACAGTAGATTAGTTCCTAGTGTCCATACCCTCTTGTAGTGATGTTCTAAGAGACTCACTCCTACATGATTAAAATGTAACATGAACTGGCCTGTACTTGGTGCATGGTAGTTGATGAGACATCGGTGGTCTGTGCAAACCACAGTCTTCCTGGAGAGCTGTGGGCTCCTTACCACACCATACTTAGTTTGGCCAGCAGACAGGACGTGTTGTTTTTCTAGTTCTGGATAGAGCAACTTTAGTCTGTGAAGTAGAAAGACATTGCATCATCATAGAGATTTGTGAGAAGTGGAAGCCTACTGTCAAGTTGCCTTCTGTAACCTAGTACATATTCTCTCAGGTCTAGAATAAAAAACCCAGATGCTTAGGAAAGCACAGAACTGAACTAGGCCCTTGCTCTTTACCATTTTCTCTGCTCAAAAGAAGAAAAGAGACAAGCTCTGAATCAGCTAAGCCTCTATTTTAGTGTTAACAAAAATACTAGCCTTCTTTTCCACCCCCCAAAACCGTCATTAGCCTCCTATGGGTTAAACTGAGTTTCTAGGTGCTACTTTTGGATTTTAACTTTCCCCCAAAGTTCACATGTTAAAGGGATGCTATCATTTAAATCTTGTGTTCCCCTAAAGGTTCATGGATTAAAGGTTTGGTCCTTGACTGGTACTTGTCAGAGGTGGTAAGAACTCTAGGGTCTGCTGAGTGCTTTTAGGCCATTGGAAGTGTGCTTTAGAAGGGGTCTACTTGGTCCTGATCTTCCTCTCTCTTATTCACTTCCAGACCTCCTTAAGATGTGCAGATTTTTCCTGCCACACACCCAGCTTCAAGTGCTTCCTTGCTACAGACCTTAAAGCAACAGGAAAATTGATCACAGACTGGACATTTTAAAACTGTGAGTCAAAATAACCCTTTCTGTTTCCTTCAGGGATTTATTGTAGTAACAGAAAGCTGCCATGCTAGATATGATGTCAACAATAAGCAGTGTAACCCATGCTACAGGAAGGGTCTGATGTAGTATTCTGAATTATGTTCCAAGTGCTTTCTAATGTAAAGTAGAACGGGGAAAAATACTTGCAGCTCTATGTTTTAGTGAACGGAAATATCTGTAATATCCTGGAATACCTAGGCTAGAGCTAAAGAATCAGTAGTATAGCACTGGATGATTTCTGATTGTTTGTTTGGTGGCTTTTTCTCTCAGTTTTCCTATGTGAAAAATAGATGCAATTATCCATTCTGTTCTTTCTTTAAAGGGCTGCCATGAGAAGAAATGACAGAGTGTTTCTGAAGACAATTCAACAGATCTGGCAAAGTGCTATGGACGTAAGCAAGGCTCCACTTTGCCTTCATTGAAAGTAGAGTCAGCATTGGTGTTGAGACTATTTGCCAGAGAGTAGCCATGCCTCAGCCAGAGGCCTTTTCCCAACTTCATCGTGTGAGAGTTAGGAAACATTTTGAACAATGTCAGTTGGAAGAATGGAGAGTGTAGGCCCGTCATCCGATGAGGAAATAGTGACACTCAAATGCCCTTTGCAAAGTACCATTATACTGTTCATGCCTCAGCATCCCCCAACTGTCCTTTAGGTAGCTAACAGCATCATCATTCACATAGGGAATCTAAAGTCTGTCGCTGAGCTCTGACTCCAAAACATATGCTGTTTCCTTGTTCTCTCCTACACCTTCTCTTCTATTCTCTGACTTGGTCTCAATAATGTTTTTCAGAAACCTTAGAAATCTGGGGCTCTGGGCCACTAAGGTAGACCATAGACAGAAAGAAGAAGCAGAGAGTGAATGTGGGTACATTTTCTACCTCTAACATAGGCTATTAGCACATGTATACTAGGACATATGGTGACCATCTGGAACTGAAGCTACTTACGTCACTGCTGAAATTCCTACCAATAATGCAGTCAGTTTTGGAAGAATTGTAATGCTCTAGTCCCCTAAAAGCTTGACTTCTAAGAGAATGCCCTTGGCAAAGCATGATTAAGAGCAGCAGTATATTTGTTGGCACACAAAATGAAATGTCAGTTGATATATGGGGCCATGATACTCCTTGACCTTAATTGTCTTCTGGAACATTGTGTCCTAATCCTCCCATGGATGTCACTGTTAATGAGCTGGCCATGCAAGCTTATACAAACAAAAAGGACATCCCACAAAGGGATCAAAGACATTTCCATCAATCAGGTGCCCCAAAGGAAGAGCCAGATAAACAGTTCCAGCTGGTGATAAGTAGAGATAGACCAGGGATAAACCAACTACAGTACATGGTGAAATCTGGCTCCTGACCTGCTCTTATAAATAAAGTTTTACTGAAACATAGCCATGCTTGTTTGTTCGTGTATTGTTTGCTTTTTCCTACCACTGTAAATGGAGTGGTCATGGCACAAACTGTATGGGCTGCAGAGCTAAAATATTCAGGATATTATTATCTAGCTTTTTAAAAAACAAGTTTGCTGACCTCTGCACTAGACAATGTATGTGCAGATAAGCTTGGTCCTGTGAACACTGATAAAAGCCTTGGCCGTGTCCTTTGCTAGTGAGACACAGGGCGGAGTGGGGGGTGGAGTGGGGGTGAGGAGATAAGGACGTCTAGAGGTCACCATGTTATAGAACTGCTTCTAAAGAGCTTGGCTTCAATTGAAAGGGGGTAATTGTCCCAGGTATTCAAATATCAGGAAGTCCTCAAGCACTGCGCACATAATGTATTTCTGTAGTGAAGAGCTGAAGAACCTTGGAGACCTGACCAAGCACTCTCTTAGCTGTCTTCTTTCCTAATTCTACTGTGCTCAATTAAAAGAGAGGCAGAGTGAGTCCTTAGTAGAAAACTTCTCTAAGTGACATCTTCGGGCTTTAGTCTCTTCTCCTGGAAAACTGAGTGACTTGAGAAGTTATCTTAAAAGGATGGCAAAGAATGAAATGGCAGTAGTACATTAGTTTCTCATAGCCCTGGAGGAGCCTCTTGAACCAGGAACCCAACAATTGCTAGTAGACCTTGAGACAATCACAGACACCAAGCTTACAGAATGGAATTGCTAATTTACAGGCTTACTATGAAATTAGCAGTAAAACCTTCTAAAGTCTATTCAATTGTTTTCTACCATACTCTATGACTTCACGTGAACCCATAGTGCATTGTCTCAAATATTCAGTGAACTGGTGCCTTGTTCATAGGTCCAACATGGTCTTCCCCTTATGATATGGACCTTCTACCAACGTGTAACTATCCGAGGCAAGCACAAACCTATGACCATACCTGAAGTTCAGTTTCTTACAGGAGATAAGAGGAAGGGGAAGGCCATGAAAACACTTTGTGAACACATAGAAGAGGAGAAAAGGAGCTCTCCATGATGGTTGATGTGTGGTTCTTCCATAAAGGGTTACAGTACAGTCTTTGGTGTAGTGGCTAGGGCAAGCACACAAGATAAGAGGAGAGAAAAGATACATATCCCAAGAGCATTGCCAGGGATTATAACTTTCCAAAATAAGCCTTCCAGTTAAGAAACAGCACCCAAGTTATAGCCACAAAGTATAAACAAAGATAATGCAGGGAAGGGAGAGAGTTTGAAGTCAAATGCTGGGCTAGCATGCACAGGCTGATGTTAATCTAAGGGATATTGGAGTAGAGATTCCATATGCTGGCAGCATACCAACTTTCCTATACTAGTTATTGTAGTGCAGGCTCACAGGATTCCAGAATGCCAGAATTGTTTATAAAAGCTTAGAAGAAATGGGTATAACTTGTGCCTAGATGATGACAACTATTGCTATAAATACATAAAAGATAACAGAGTATAAACACAGAATCCCCCCAGTCAAGGAATTTCATGGTAGAAAAAAAAACTGCCTAGGAGTTGAAATGGTGGCATAATTGAGTATCACATTCTGTTCAGTGAGAACCTACACATTCATAAACAAGCATAAGGCCAGTTCAGTAGAAGACCTCAACAGTATGGTGAACTGAATGGCTTTCCAAAGCACATTACAGAAGACCTTGATAGTGTTTGAATGTGCCCCACTCAAGGGAGAGCTCTATCACCAGCTTTGCTCACCACAGGTCATTCGGAAAATCTGGCCACACCTCCAGATCACAGACCTCTGAGAAAAAGAACATGTGTGCTTGCAAATGAAATTCTTAATATATTGTTACTGATAATCATTCTAGTTTGTCTTTGACAACTTGTTCCAAGGCAGTTGAACCAATTAATTGCATGTCTGTAGGTGCTGCACCTGCAAAGGGTACTGGGGATATGAACCAATATAGCCATTTCTATCTAGGGCCATTTTGCTCAATAGGAGTAGGTAAACACCTAAAATGCTAGTTTTTAAATATGGTTTTGTGAGATCCCAAAAGTTAAGGGAACCCCACTCAGCATAAGATTCTACAGGAGCTTTTGGAAACAGATAATAATTGGTACTCCAATAGAATAGGGTTAGTATGAGATAGTGAAGCAGGAGGAAACCCAGGGGGCAGAAGAAGAAGAGAATCAAGAAGTTCAAATAGTGGAGAGAAGGTGACAGTGTCCAATACAGTAGATGAGAAAACAAGGTTTGAATTGGCTTTGGAAATGAGGAAGTCACTGTCATCAGGAGGACAGCCTCTTCTAGCCAAGAGCCATGAGCCACTTTAGAGGACTAACCAGAATTAAAGAAGTGGAGATACCCAGCATGGATGGTCCCTTGTGAAACTCTGTGACCTTGAAGAGAAGGAGAGCAAGGACACTGACTAGAGGAGATGAGGAAGATGTGCAGACATGTGTGTTTATGTGTGTTTCTGTGTGTGTTGCCTTTTTAATTTAGACTTTTATATTAGAGGAATATATATATCACATCTACAGGCTAAGAAAAAAATTGTAGGAAGGATATAATAACAAAAGAAAGGTGATGACCCATAAACTTAGGAAGGAGAAACTGGCCCTAAGCAAGAAGGTTGACCCATATTCTGAGATGAAAGAAGGGATGGAGGAAGAAGTGGGTGTCATACACTTAAGTCTCTAGGTGGGAAAGGGTAACACTGGGGAAAGTGTCCATGATTTCAGTTCTGTCATTTTTCAGAGGCACAAGTATCTTCAGTGTCTAGGCATCAGAGGCTAGGGGATGGGTCAGAGAAAAAGAGAATAGGCTCAAAATGTCTCTGAGAAGAAAGAGCAAGGTTCTAAGTAGGGACCAGCTATGTGAAGATCAGAACTGTTGGGGCATCAGCCATTGCGATGCAGAGACTAAACTACTTTGAATGTTTCATTCTCTGTGAAGGTCATCCTATGCCTAATTACCCTGCTATTTGTGGTCATATATTTGATTTTGAAGCTACTGACCCATCTTCCTATGGAGATACACACTCCTAAAAGCTTTGAATACAAGGAAAACCACCAAAGAAAGCGAAAGGCAGAGGCGGGAGGATAATCCTATACCAGACAACTGATATTGGGCACCAGAGTGGTGTTACCATTCTTCAGAATGATTCTGCTCTTACTTTAGAGCAGTGCTTCTCAACCTTCCTAATGCTGAGACCCTTTAATACAGTTCCTCATGGTGTGGGGACCCCCAACCATAACATTATTTTCGTTGCTACTTCATAACTGTGATTTTGCTACTGTTATGAATCATAATGTAAATATTTTTTGGAGATAGAAGTTTACCAAAGGGTTCAAAATCCCCCCCGCAGGTTGAGAATCCCTGCTTTAGGAGACTTTATGTCAGAACATACAGTGAGCTGAGCAGAGAGAAGCCATTGTTCTCACTGGGGCTCAGTTGTGCTCTGGCCCACTCAGTCTAATAGGTCATCGCAGCCCATCACAGTCATCTTCTCTGCCAATCCTGAACACTGTGACACTCTCCATACATAGCTCAAGCTCATAGCCATGGGAACTCAGGCTCACAAGTCTCTTCCCAACGCCGTTCCTCCTGAGCTTTCTTTGAATGCAGCGCAGTTACAGTATATATTTTTAGGTTTACTGCTCTTAGCTTTCAGTATCTACCACTTTGCTACTGCTTTTTTTTTAAGCTTGTGTGGCGATGTTTTATTTGTGCACCCCAATAAAGCTTATCTGGGGATTGGAAAAAAAAAACCAGCCACTATATTAAACATAGAGGTCACGCAGTGGTAGCACACGCCTTTAATCCTAGCATTCGGGAGACAGAGATTCATCCGGATCTCTGTGAGTTCAAGGCCACACTAGGAACAGAGCCAGGCGTGGTGGCATACACCTTTAATCCCAGCACTAGTTAACCATAGAGGTCTGGAGGTCTGTACAGACAGACAGGAAGTGATAGAGCTGGGCAGGAAGAGGAAGTGATGTAGCTGGGCAGAGAGAGGAAGTAAGATGGCAAGGCACAGTAAGGTATATAGGTGTGAGTATACAGGAAGTAGCTCTCTCTTGGGCTGAGGATTTCCTAGGGTAAGAACATGGTTGACTTCTTTCTGCTTCTCTGATCTTTCAGCTTTCACCCCAATATCTGACTCTGTTTTTTTTTTAATTTTTATTAATAAGACCATTTAGCAATTCGTCTTACAAACTGGTGTATCTTATTCCCTTCCTTGCTGAACAAAATTCTGACCTTCATGGCAGGGTGAGATCTTGCACGCTTGTTTTTAGCATCCCCCCGCACCAATCCATACTTGTTGCTTAGCAAACACTGGTTTATTTGGCTGAATGCATAGATAGAGAAAGGCCTGAGATATGCTCTGTCTTGGGGCAAACATGTGCCTTTTCTACTCCCTGGAATACAAACTATTCCAGTGAATTCCTTCTCAGAATGGAGCCAAGGAAAAGGTTACCAATAAATGTGACTCTCCCGTGGGAAGGTGTGTGGACGGTGGCTAACAGCTGTCAGCTGGTACTTTCTGGTTAGTACATAATGCAGAAGGGAATTTGAAGAAGGATGGGGACCGGATGCTTGCCCCCTCTGAGGCTCCTGTCCCCTCCTCTCGCATCCTGACCTTGTTTCAGACATTCATTCCCAAGAGCCAAGTCTGCTAGTGGCTCCATCAAGCAAAGGCCGTAACCACTCAGCACTTGGTTTGCATTTGCATTGTCCTTTGTAAAAGGCAAAAATAGATGAAAATTTTTCTTCTATCAGACTGAGTGGGAAAGAAAGATCACGTAAACAGGAAGTCTTCTTCCTTCTCTGACTTTGCTGGTGAGTTCTCACAATCTGTGCTTCATGAACTTGGGCGTGGCCTGACAAATCAGTTGTTTCTAGTCACAGGGTTGAGAGTTAAGAGGCTCAACTCCTTCAGCATTGCTCAAAAGAAAGCCCTTTCTTGGATTATCAGTGGCTGAGTGC